CCCCAAAATACATTCAATCACTTCAAAGCATGAAACAAAGCATAAACCAATGACAAAAACAAAAGAGAACACACTCTACAAAATAAAAACTGGACATCCTACGCGTATGTTGCATACACCCACCCATTATTTTTAAGATAAGAAAGTAAATCATCAGATTAAAGCCATATATTATTTTGAATTATAACTTTCTTTTTAATTCACTGGATTTTCATTTTTTCATTGTTGAAGACATGAAAGATGATGATGAATAATGTTCATAGTATTTTTAAAATACAAATATTATCATAATTGGATTTATCCAAATTGAAGTCAGGGATTGAAATACCTTTTAAAGAGGGGTTTTAAAGTCATTCAATGTTGAATAAAATGAATGAATGGGATGATGATTTGGTTAATGCTGTGGGTTAGCAAAGAATAAGAAAAAAAGATGGCAGTAAAACATAGAATCCAGCACCAGGGAACACGTCAAGAGACTTGAAAGATAGAAAAAATTAACTAAAAAAGTGACTCAATTTCAAATAATAATGCACAAGTTTTGACTATACAGAACCACAATTTTGAAAATCTCAAGTGAAGAGACAAAATCGAGGAATAAAAATTTGCACAACCTTTTTAGCACTTGAAAAATGCACACTTTCACTCTGAGCAGAATCTCAACACTGAATGAATAAGAGAGCTTCATGCAGTTATAAGAAAAACAAGTGTTGGGGGTGGAAAAATGAGAAAAACAGGTGTTTGGAAAACTGGAAAATTCCCAGTGATCACGTGACTGAATTTCAGCTAGGGAGCTTTTCCTTCGGTATACTGCGTCTTTCAGGACACAGAGTATTTGTTTCCTCAAAATTCTTCTGGGGGTGAACATTTTCCATGAACCATTTTGTTACAAGATTCAAGTCAAGGATAAAAAAAGATGCCTTGAAAATGGTTCATCACCAGGAATGCTGTAATTGAGTAATAAGCTGACTTATGCTTCAAGAAGACTGTTTTTAATTTAAATTATTCAGCCATGAGTGAAATTTCTAAAAAAAAATTCCTGATATTTTCAAGTTGTTTTGTTGTTGAGAAAAATTTTCAAAGAAAAAGTATCATTATAAGTTGATTTTTGGGGGTGTTTATTACTGAGTATACTTTCATTATAGGGACACCTTCTGGTGGTTCTCATTTATATTCACTGTGTTCCAGGTGATGGATGATCAGGAAGATGCAAATTCAGCAGGAGAATCAATGCCTTCATCCCCAGAATTGACACCAAGCATGAATGTGGACTCTTTGTCATCCATGCACAGGGATTGTCAGCCATTTTTCCTGCATCCACCTGTTGCACCAGCACCTGCTGCTGCTGCTGCTGCTGCTTCAGCAGTCACCAACACCAATGGATTCTACCTTAACCCAATGTCCAAGGCCTTGTCCTCTTCCACATCCTCAAGCTCTTCCACCTCATCTGTGGACCATGACAGTTCCAAGCGCCCTCTGCTGAGCAAGAAAGGTGGCTTGAGGAAGGCCAAGGAAAGGAGACCTTCTTCCACTTGCAGTTCTTCTGTGAAAGGTTTAAAAAAAAAAGAGAGAATTAAGGTACAGACTCTGAAAATTAAGTTTATGGTTTATATGCCCTATTTTCAGATGGTTCTCAAGAACATGAGCCATTTTTCTTGCACTGCAGCAAGCCATTGGATGCCCTGGAGAAGATGATGTCCAAGGACCCCGTGAGGAATTTGTTTGGGTCCTCACATCCCAAGACTGCAGTTCCTGCTCACATCCTGGGTTCAGGGGCTTCAGGCTCAGCTCTCAACAGAGGCAATGCCTTGCCACCATCTTCAGAAATGCCTCCTGAGGCCAGCAAACATGGTGGGTCTTCATCAGAGAGCTCAGGTCTGCCACCCAGACCCACTAGGGCACCACCACCAGTTCCTGTCATCCAAAACATCAAAGGTATTCTATCATACAAAAAAAAGACATTCATGAATTTCTTTGTGATTCAAGTTTTCAAGTTTTCATATCATGTTTTCCTCAAAATAGTGAAAGCAGAAGTGCATGTGAGTTCAGAGTCTGAAATCAGCATGAGCTTTTCAGAGCTGAGTAACACTGGAGAGAATGAGTATGAGGACATCAAGCACAACATCATCAGCAGTTCCAGCAGCAATGCTGGAGACTCTGGATTTGAAAACATTCCTCCTCCACCAGGTAACTTGGAAATGAAGCACTATCTCTCATCTGACCTGTTATTTTTTATCTATGAAAATTATAAAGTTTTCTGTTGTTCAATTCAGTTGGCCCATGTATCCAAATATTCATTTGATGAATATTATGGGACATTTCAAAAATATAGTGTCATAAATGACTCACATACCTCAAATTTCCAGACAAAACTGTTTTTTTTCAATTTCAGCAAATGTAGGATTTAAACTTTTGAAATGTGTCTCAAAACTGTCAAAAGACAGGAAGCCAAGATTTTAAAATTTGAATTGAAAGTGAATAGTTTGCCCTAATAATTTTGACATGTTGACCAATGCACAATGAAAAACTTTGAAGCTACTGTACAGTATTTGAAACCACTTCCTATGACTTGGATAAAGCCAAAATAATTTAAATTTCTACTTACCTTATTTTACAGTACTAACATTAGACACATTTTAAAAACTAATACAGTAAATTTAATTTCTATGAAGTGTTTTTTGTGCCTGGAATTGATAATATTACATTTCTTTCAATTGTAAATAAATAAGAAGCACATTTAGCATGAAACACTGGTACTTTTGCATCACAAAACTCATCCCATATACCAGAATAGGTTTCTTTGGATTCTGGTTTATGACCTGATTGATGCATAACTTGCTCAAACAGACTTTGCCAGTGTATCAAAGCCCAAGCAGGACACCAAGGTAGAATACATTCAGAAGCAAGAGGAAAATATGGAAGAAAAGGCATCCAGTGGAGAAGAAGAAGCTGAGGAGGAGGATGAGGAGGAAGAAGAAGAACAAGAAGAAGAACAACAACAACAACAACAACATGAAGAAGAAGAAGAAGAAGAAGACCAAGAACAAGAACAAGAGGATCCTCCCAAGAAAGAAGAAAGACCTCAACAGTCCACAGAGATCCCTCCACCTCCTCCTCCCCCAGAGATCACCATCACAAACTCAGAAGATTCATCAGATTTGAATGGTAGTGCTGAAAGGGAAAGTTTTGATGTTGCCAAACCTGTGGACAGTTTGATATTTGGTCAGTTTTTTGTTACTCTTAATTTGAAAAAAAGCCGTGAAGTCAATTTTGGAAACCTGAAAACAAAATTTTTTTTGGAATGTTTCTGTATATAGGACACCGGAAACTGAGCAGACCAACTTCTTTGCCCATAGACTTTGCAGAACAGTACAGCAAAACTTTATCTGAGATGACCAATCCCTCAGGCAAAGGTTTGCTGAAGGTGAGAATAAGTGATGCTGAAATATTTTTTTCAGAATTCTTGCCTGATGTATACCATGCAATAATTCCAAAAAATGTTCATTGTCCAAATCTGTTGGATTTTCATTTTTCTGATTGCTCAATACATTTTTTCTGAACAAAAGTATAAAATGTTCATTGCCAAAATCAGTTGTATTTTTTCCCTTTTTGGTTGCTAAATATATTTTTGTTTCTTAACAAAAAGTTTGAAAATATAAAAAAAGTTCTTTGTAAAAATTACTTGGATTTTTCATTTTTTTATTGCTGTATATTATACAGAATTTTTATTTTTAAAAGAGGATGAAAATACCTCCCCACTGTCCAGTTGATGATGATAAAAATGTTTTTCCATGGCAGGTTGGGAAAGGAGAGCAGCAAGATGGCAGTGCCAGCAACAGCCTCATCAGGCCACCAACTCGCCTTCAACTCCGCCAGATGGTGCTGCCTTTTGTGCCCCCCAAGTTCCCAGCTGGCAGTGGGGAATCTGATGCCCTCATCAAGCCATCAGAATATCTGAAGAGTCTGGGACATGCTCAGCATCATGGCCACCATATGAACTCCCTTGAGTCGTCGTCGTTGTTCCTCTTGACACTCTGAGTCGTCGTCTCAGGACCTAGGGGACCACCGTTATCAGGAGGTTCTTAGTCGGTCAGGTGGTTGAGAGAATAGGACCCATTTGTTTTTTTAAGAAAATTGTGAATGCAATTTTAAAACAGTATTGTAATCACTCTGCTACCATGCACCCTCAATAAGTGAGACACACACCTCAATTTGCCAAAATTTGGCTTTTTGGTGATAAAAATAGGAAGTTTGCCCTTAAATGCCACTTGATGCTGATAAGTTACACAACTTTTTCTTTGAAATTTAATGAAGCCCTGGGAAAATGGGCAGAAGCTAGGCTCAAGTCTTTTGAATCAGAGTTTCCAACCTTTTTGATAAGCCCATTGACCAGCTTAGTTAAATAACATTTTTGCAGACTCAAAAACGCTTTGCTTGAAAGACTTTACAGCAGGCATTTAAAGAGTTTCTACTTTTTTGCTAAAATTAGGAACCCATGAAGTGGCCGCATGTATTTGAAATATCTTCCAAAAAATTAGAAAGGTTGGCTTGAAGCAAGGATTCTCAGAATTAAATTGTACTTGATGTATTTCAAATGTTGATAATTTTTATGAAGTGTTATTAGGAGAAATTCAATTCTTATACTTTTTAACAAGATAATTTCAACTGCCCTTTCTTGCAGAGATTTCAGAGAAGGATAATACCAGGCTTAAAACATTTATTAGGAACATTTCTGCAGGTCAGCAAAAAAACTTCTGAGGACCATGGGTTTTTGAAACACTATTTCAAAATATTTTAAATCATGTTACAGTCATTCAAATATTCTGACTCAGGTTCCCAGCAAAGAACATAATTTCAGGGTGTGCTGGCACAAATGTTTTGCCTTACTGTTGTGCAAGAGGGTTTGAAATGGGTTATCCTCATGACATAATTTTGTTTTAAATTGAGAATGATTTCAAAAGGTTTTCTGGGTAGCAATTGAATGTTGAGTGCTGTTGCGCACTAAGCATGGCAAAGCATAACAGAACAAGAAATGACAATGTAGTGAACACTCCAAAGTGCTATTTACATTGCAGCCATTGCAAATGACTACAATAAAATCATTCAGGGTGCTAAAGGATGATTATATATTTCAGGTAGTATTTTATTCATACAAATTTTTTTTTTGCATTTTAGATTCTGCTCATGATGAAAGTGACCAGTCAAGCCTCATTTCAAGCTACTCAGCAGAGAGTGGGATAGAGAGTCTCATGTCCAGTGGTGGGTCCTCCAACATCAGTTGCCCACCTCCAGCTCCTGCTTTGCCAGTCATTCCAGAGCAAGACACAGAGCCAGTGTCTTGCATCACAGAGTCAAAAGTTGTCTGCACTGAGGCTATTGATGAAGTTGTGGTGAAGTGTCCTCCTCCTCCACCACCACCACCTCCTGCTGTGTCCACTCCCACCACAACCCCCAAGGGTTTCATCAGTGTCCAGGAGATTCAGAAAGTCCAGCTCAAGAAGACTGAGAACAAGTTGTCCAAGACTCTTTCTGCTCCAGTGCTGAGCAAGTCTGAAAGTGTACCAGGTAAGAAAAAAAATATCAAGCTTTGAAAATATAGTGTGCATCAGAGTTCCCCAACCTTTAGTGCACAGACTGGCACCAAGACTGTTATCTTCATCTTAATTTTGGAAAGACAATGGCAGATGAAATTATCTGTTGAATAAAGAAAAGTTGGCTTTTCTCCTATACATCACTTGAGACCAAAATTTCTCCTACTGAAATGAATTACATTATTTTTCATTCTGAGAAACCTTTCTTCAAGCCCACCTTTCTAATTTTTTGAGGATGCTCCACCATAGTGACTTCATTGGTTTATAACAAAATTTTTGAACAACTGCAGAAAATGTTTAAAAATATTTGCCATTAAGTTTTTCATGCACAACTTTTTTGTGTCTGCAAGAAGTTCTTGAAACGTTGGTGGCCTGATGAATTCCTTTTGGAAATTTGCTGGATGGCAAAAAATATGAAAAATTGCTGGTATATGTGGGAGCAAAGAGGTTGGGGAACACTGCTTTATTTAATTTGAAATACAGTATTACTAACCTTTTCATCAATTTTTTCCCCAGCACAACCTGCATCACCAATGTCTCCCAAAGAACAAGCAGCTGCTGAGCTCATTGAAGAACTCAAACTCAGCAGGGCAGTTGGAGGAATCAAAAAGCTCAAAGAAGAAAGAGCAAAGGATGAACTAAAGCGCCAAGAACTTCAGGCCAAAGAGCTCAACAAACAGTTCACCCCTGGCAACTTTGTAGACAAGGTCAGCACCGAAAAAAAACCCAAATTCACCACACAAAAAATGGATATATTCCAATTTAATTATTACTATTATCTGTTTTTTTTTTTGTAAACAGATCCCTGACCATGATGCCCAGGGAAACCCAATCCCAGACTGGAAGCGCCAAATGTTGGCAAGAAAGGCTGCAGAAAAGGCCAAGAAAGAAGCCCAAGAAGAAAGAGAGCGCGAAGAAGAACGTCGCAGACAAGAAAAGATCCCCCCTTGGAAGCGTCAGCTCCTGCAGAAAAATGGGGATCACCGGTTGGTAACTCTGCAGTCTGGCACATGAACAAATCCTGGTGACACATTACATTTAATCCTTCTCTGTGTTTTTCAGAGCCAGGATATTTTTTCCTACAATTCAGTGCCCAAGACAATGAAAATTAAAAAACCCAACTGATCAACATCACAAAGCCTGAATTTTTTTTCTCTCTTTATGAAAAAAAATAAAAAATTCCCCCCATAAGATTAACAATTGAGGATCCATTTTGGATTTCAGTCCTCCAAGAAAATCATGGATTTAAAAAAAAACATCCCAATGCTTTTCAGTGATCATTTGTCAAACCAAAACATTCCTGAATGGCAAAAAAAAAAACCTGGACTCTGCTGGAATATGGAGAAGAAACCTGCTGGAATCCAAGGGTTAATGTTTCTGTTTTTCTTTCCTAGACAGAGCTGTGGAAACCTGTACACTCCTAAAATCCAGGAGAAACCCAAACCAGAACCTGCAAATGATGATGAGCAACCTGTAGATGAGAATGATGTCATGCCATGGAGATCCATCCTGCGCAAGACCAACAGCATCCTGAACCTGGCAGATTAACCTCTTCCACAAATTGTACACATTCCTGCAACACCCTCCAGAAAAAAATTCCTCTCTTTCCTCTCAGACATTGTGATAATGTTGTGATAGCTTCCCAAAAACTCTTTCCAAGAAATTGCACAGTCAAAAAAAGTTCCTAATTGTGACTTCAATTGCTATGGGTTCAGGTTGAAACCATGCAAGTGGACATCACTCAAAAATGTTACCAATTCCTTGTGTTTTTTGTGGGTGTGTGTGTGTGTGCTTTCAGTCATTGTAAATGGAAATGAGGTGGCAAATAAAAATTCCCCAGGATTATATTTCCAGGACTACCAAAAAGTCTCATTTTTTGTTGTTTTCTAATCAATCCCGAGCACCTATAAAGTGAAGACCCAAACAAAAATCATTGATCACAATCAATTCTAATAGTTATCCACATCCTGTGTTTCTTTCACAGTGTGAACAACTTGGTGTGTGGTGACATGTAGAGGATCCCAAAGGTGGCTCCAATGGTGGACACTATGAAGACCCACAAAAGCAACCTGGGAAATACTTTTTTTGTCTGAGACTTTGCTTCAAGAAATTGTTTGTTGAAGGGAATATCACCTGTCAATGACCAGGGCCACTTGTTGCCATTCCAACTTGATGGTGTCTCTTCTGTCCTGCTCATGCAGTCTGACCTCATTCTTCTCTATTGTTGAATACACCTTGTTCAACACTCTGAGAAACTGCCTTTCAAAACAGTCAACAGCATCTGGAGAGGACAGATTGCTGGCTGATGTTGACAGTGTAGAAGTCACATGTCTTCTTGGAAGCCTGAAAAAAAGAATGTCATAGATTTCTTGATGGTTTTTATTTTCTTTTGTTGATCATTTTTATGTCACAAACCTGAGAGGAGAAGTGCCACCATTTTCAGATCTCCTGATGACATCATCTTGGCAAGACAGTGTTGCCAACTGCATTTCAGCTGAGAAAGGAGTCTTTGGGTTCCCAGGGTGGTACCTGACATGGTCTGGGGGATCCAAATGGATCCACATCATTTTGGCAAGGAAACCAAACACTATTCTCTTCACCACTGCTGGAACTTCTCTTCCCCTCATTCCTCTGTGGTGATAATTCAGTGTTACCACTGACAGGCCAGTTGCAAATGACACCAAGGATATTGTCACTCCATAGTAAAGGCCTTCAAAAGTTGAAAGAAACCTTTGATCAACAGTGTTTGTGAAAAAATCCTTGAATCAGGGTTTAGTCAGGGAAAGCAACTGATGAACATTTCAAAATTCAGTGAAGTGTTTTCTTCAAGAAACTCTGCTTTTACAAAAATATGGTGTAGCTTGCTTGATGACGCAGTCACCTAAAATTACTTTTCCAAGGGCAAATGCAGAAAATTAAACATTGAAAACTGTTAGTTTCTTTTTTTCAAAATTCGGAATCAAACTATAATTTTTAGAGAGGGATTTGGATGAATTCAAAATGTCCTTCCATGCAAAAAATCCTTACATTGATGTCATGTGAAGTAAAAATGTCTCCAATGTCAAAAAAGGTAATATAAATGACATCTTACCAATCAGAGGAAGCTTTTCTGAAGTAGGAGGCATTGATTCACCAATTACCATCAGGAATACAGTCATGGAAAGTAGGGTAGTAATCCCAAGAGTGACTTTCTCTCCAGAATCACTTGGCATATAAAAACTCAGCAAAGCAACTCCAGTGATGAGCACACATGGCAAAATCAAATTGAAAACTGAAAACAAATTTTTTTAATGAGCATTTTCAGATGAGAATCTTTGGAATGTCCTTATGTTTGACAACATACCATAGAACAAGGGTCTCCTTCTCAAAATGATGGTATAAGTGATGTCTGGATAAGGTTCATCACAACAGCTGTAATACTGCACATTTCTGTCAACTTTCATCCTGATCAGGTCCCATTCACCATTGGTTACATAATTGGACAAATCGCCCTCAGAGGCATCAGTTGTCAAATTCACCTGTTCATAATAATTCATTCATAAAAGGGAACATTTTAATACTTCAACACTGATTTATACATTGTAAATTTTTTTCAGGAATTCTCATCTTTAGTAACATTTCCACTTGAAAAGTGGATTCTACTTCTATACTCTCACTAAGTTTAAAATTAGAATTGACTGATGAATGAAGATGAATATTTAACCTCTAAAATATTTTTATATTTATAATTTAATTCTCTCAAATATTTTTGAAAGTGAGGAGGGCATGTATGAAAATTATCTTCATCCTCAAACTGAAAATGCCCCAAATAATTAAAACACAGTTTAGCACAGATGATTATTCATGATCAAAGAAAAAACCATAGTTAGAGCCATTATATAAATGTCAGTTCATTCAGTTCTTAAAGCACTTAACTGTATATTTTGTGCATCATGATGAATGGCACATCAAATATAATACACAAAACATTAACTATATATGGGAATAAATACATTTTCTCAGCTTTACTGTAATGGAAATGGAAAAATTATTTTTCTGTAATGATTGAGAGATAAAGTTACAATTTTGAATTTATTTTCTCAAAGTTTTTACCTGATAACCGCCATAAGTCCAGGAAGCAAACTTCATGACACACACTTGCTCATCAAAAGGAAAAAACTCCACATTGATCTGACAGGATGACTTGAAGATAGCACTGGACAAGTAAGTTACTTGTCCATCAGATGTCACTATGACATTTGTACTCAACACTGCACTGCTGTATTGGCTGTCAGCACTGAAACAGAATAAAAAAAAATGGTGGCATGAAACATTGCCCAGTGACACATCAAAAGAAAAATGTTGGTGTTCTGGGTTGGAAAACGTGCTCAGAATGGAGATCTTTTTTTGCTGAAGGATCTCTTGTGCTGATAATGATGATGGGGGTCATCAAGACTGGACATGATATGAATCCCTGAAGTTTGCCCTGTCCCACCACAGCCTCAACTTTTTTTTCCTTCCAAAGATACTAATGGACCCTGTCAGTCCCAGACTGGAAAACAAGAGGGATCCTTTGGCAAGATTTTGTAAACTCAAGTCACTCATCCCATTAGGGATCTGGCAGAAAAGTTGTCTGGAAACCCACTGCTGCTGCTGCTCTCTCAGTCATTGCCAAGCACAAGCATTCCTCAAGCTGCCCACAGCAGAAAAAGATCCCCATCAAGTCCCCCAAAAGAGAGAGAGATCCCTCACTTGTTGTACAATAAAATATCTGGCTTCCAGACCCTCCCTGAGGGGATCCTGATCACTGTGATGTTGCTGTAGTCTGAAGGGTTCCATACCAGCCCAGCATCCAGCCACACCTAAAGAGACAGAAAAAAGGATCCTCAGACTCCCCAACATTTTTCAGAGAGGAAAATAATCCCTTGCCTGGTTGAGCCAGCCATTGGTTGTTAGTATTTGGTTTCTCTCATCCTGTATGGAAAGATAAAAAATATATACCATGAGCTATACTTCTGGGAGAGGATCCTCTGAAAAGGATCCCTCACCACATCAATGATTTGCGTCAGAGCCATGTTGAAGGATACATCCAAGGGAGATTGTGGGGATTTGGCTGGACGCACTGAATTGTCATAATTGGACATTAAGAGCCTCATCAACCTCAGCTCCTCCTTATCTCCAGAGGATCCTTTCCAGAATAAATGATAAACATGTCTTCCTGGTTCAAATAATTCTTGTGCTCCAAATAATATTTTTTCATCATGTCTAGAAAAATAAAGCTTCTTATATGTGGTACTAATTGCAATACAAATATACTTCTGACTGGATGGTCTGTTGTTTATTCACTAGCTTATCTTGTACTGGAATTTTTTTATCCAAGTATATATTTTCAGAAATGAAGCAAATCATTCTCAGATAATTTGCTGACTTCTGCAATTTTCTACAGGATAAAAATCTCTTTGTCATGAAGAATATCCAATTTTTTTTAGGAATACAGCTTGAGTTGTAAGAAATTACTTAGATTCAATATTTTTGAGAATCCCAATATTTACTAAATTTACTAAAGCACTCTTTACTCAAAGCTTTGCAATGTAAGCTGCCAAATTATTCTAAAAGCATGAATTTATTGTTATTCAACTTCATGAAAAAAGATAATATTGAATGGATGAAGTTTTGTTATGCCATTGAGAAGGCAATATTTCAAAAACTCAGCAATTTCAACAGCCAAATTTTTTTGACTATAGCTGCATGGATATATATTGTTTACTGCACAAAAAATAATCAGAATTGGTACAGTTTTTCCATGCTTTTGAAAGGATGACAGTTCAAAGATTGTTAATATATTGCAATGGTGTCAATACCTCTGAGAAGTGAAATCCAGAGAAAGATCCTGGTGAAGCTGGAAAACACATCCATGACACAGGGAACAGCAAGGGTAGAAACAGAAAACCTGCGAAAGGAAAATAAATATCTATATCAGCATCAATGGCCCAGAAAAACAGACCGGTTTGGGGGGATCCCATTTTTTGGTACCAAGCCAAAAATCCCAGTTCATTCAATCCAGCTTTTGTGGCCGACGGGGATCTTTTCCCTTCTTTGTGGGAAACCACAGGAAAGGTTTGCAAATTTAGGCAATGAGACATGCAATGATTTGTCCACACATTGACACACCATGGCATGTAGGGGATCTGTCTTTCTCTGTTTGAAGCTCTGGAAAGTATGCATCACTTTCCATANCACAGGAAAGGTTTGCAAATTTAGGCAATGAGACATGCAATGATTTGTCCACACATTGACACACCATGGCATGTAGGGGATCTGTCTTTCTCTGTTTGAAGCTCTGGAAAGTATGCATCACTTTCCAGAGAAACCCAGAAAGAGATTGGGACAAGCACTGAGATGGCCCAAAAGTTCTGGGTCATTGCATAAGCCTTTTTTTCATCCCTCAATCTTCCAAGACATCAGCAAGATTTAATTTGTTAATGCAGAAGTTTCCAGCCACAGATTTCCTGCTTCTGGGGCGCCTGTTATCACGAGGGATCCTCATTTTCTGGATCCCCTTCCATGCGCATGCAAAAGAACTTTTCAAACTTCATTTAGCCGCCAGTTTCTGATGACAACCTAGTTAAACGATATCGCCAGAGAACAAGGAGGATCCCTGGGATCCCCAGACGTATAAAGGAAGATCCGTCACAGCAAGAAAAGCTGGGAAATGGAGATAAATCACGGAATGATCGCCTGGGAAGACAGATGAAAACAGGGCAAAAAAGAAGGAAATGAATGAATAATATCCTGGGGATCCCGGAGATCTCATTGTTTCCGGTATCCCGGGGATCACGTGACAAAAGTCAGAGGATCCGTCTGGTTTTATCTGGACCCTTTTTCTGGTAAACACACAGGGCAACCAACCATCAGTTGTAACATGGAAAATTATTTTCTTCTTTAGAGCATGTGTTCAAAGGATCCTCACACTTTCTAAGGATCCCTGAATTTTCTGCATGACGCATATGCGATATGCTCTGACTGACAGTACTTCTCCCCCCTGTCAAAAGTGCTTAGAAGGGATCCTTCCCCACTTTCAAGAAGATATCTTTTTTTTTTAAGAATATGTTCACCATGGGTGATTGAAAATGCCATTGGCAACCTTGTAGCTGACCACAACAACAGCAATTTATATTCCAACAGCAGGATCAGCAGAAGCAGCTGGTGTTTTCAAGCACCCAGAGGATCTTTCACTGCAAAGAAAGCCAAAAGTACTTGCTTTGTTTTCTTTTTCTATAGCCTTTACTGCTGGATATTTTATAAGGAGGTACAACGGGTGTCTCCCTTTGGGGGAATCGAGTCGACCTTCCCTCTCTTTTTTTGGAGTCTTTGTCACAGCATTTAGTAGTCTTTGGGGCGCTAGGGTTGAAAGAGGACCCTCCAGATCCCTGGTTTTGAAAGGTCCCTTGCTGAGGGAATTGGTTACACCATTTCTATATTAATAAATTCCTCGCATTTCCCTTTGCAGCATGCCATTGAAATCCCCAGTGACAAAGTTCCCAACAATGAAATATTCCTGCAGGATTCACTCAATAGATGGCAGCATTGCATGGGCAAGTAATCAAAAAGATCACAAAAATAAATTTAAATGCAAATTATCTGTGTTTCAAGGAGTATCAAAAATATTTGAGAAATAAAGAAGGGGCAGCAGTGGAAAATATGTGAATCTCTATAATCTCTGCATATACATGATTCAGAATACTTACTTTCATGATTTTCTTACTATAACTTTAAAAAGAATACATTTGAAAAAATTAAAAAAGTTCAGAGACAGAATCTCAAAAATATTCCTCCATGTTGCCCACAGAGGGAAACCCCCTTAGCTCAGCTGGAAGGGAGAGAAAAAAACCTCAGAAACAGTGTCGTAAATCATCAGAAACCCCGCGATCCCAACTTTCTCCTGGGAGGGGATCCCTGGTTTTGAAAGGTCCCTTGCTGAGGGAATTGGTTACACCATTTCTATATTAATAAATTCCTCGCATTTCCCTTTGCAGCATGCCATTAAAATCCCCAGTGACAAAGTTCCCAACAATGAATTATTCCTGCAGGATTTACTCAATAGATGGCAGCATTGTATGGGCAAGGAATCAAAAAGATCACAAACATAACTTTCAATGCAAATTATCTGTGTTTCAAGGAGTATCAAAAATATTTGAGAAATAAAGAAGGGGCAGCAGTACTTTTATACACTTAGAGATATTAGAGACGTATATGTACTAAGTCTTATGAATGAAAGTACTAAAAGAATGATATTGAAATTTTTCTTATGTAAACTTTTTTAATTTTTTCAAGTCTCTGTCTTAGAGTCAAATTCATTTGTATTTCTAATGTAAAATTCAATCTTTCTCTGAAGCAGAAAATGGATGTGTGGCATCTAATGATGAAAAATTTCCAAGACCAAATCTTTAGATTTCACAAGTAAAATTTATTTAAAAATAATTCTCCTCCAATTGCTAAATATTTCAAGTTGAGGGATAAAAAAGTTATGCAGCATCAATGCAACAATTGTAATTATAAGAGAAAAATATCTTTTAAATATTACAGGTGATGTCATGAGAAAGGGTTCATGAAATGCTGGCCAGACCACTTTCCTCTGTTAGCCATCACTGAAAAATCAACACAAAACAATCATCAGTCAATGGCATAATCATTATGCTGCATCTATACACAAAACATTGGCCAGAAGTAACATGATAAACAAGAGGGCATTTATCAGACAGGAAATGGAAGAAAATGCCTTGGAGCCAGCTGATTAATAGCGACCGGAAACAGAAACAGGAAGGAGGTCATGCATCAGCTTTCCAGGGGATCCGGATCCCTCCATGATTGTGTAAACATTCACATTCCACCAAGAAGAAATTCCAGCTCACTTTTTTTGCTGCAAATATTTCCTCAAAAATTTCCACCAAAAATCAATTCAGGATCCCCCCTTGGGATCCCCGCGTTCATCTCTTTCCTGGGATCTCTCATGCATTTTCACTTTTATATCTCCTGGGAAAAAATCCATTTATCATCATTCTTTGGGGGTTCTCACGAGGTATACAAGAACAATATTGGGCCAGAAGCGCACAACAATGCATTTTTCTTGTGCTTTCACTCTTCCTCTCCTCACAGAGGATCCCCTGAACCAATTAAGTCAAGGAATGACAGAGATCGAGAACACTTGCTCATTCCTTTGACACTTTTTCTCCTTCTGTCATAATGTTTTACCAAGGAAAATATCCCAGCCATCAAATTCCACCCAAGGATATTTTATTAATAAGAATCTTTTGCAATATTGGGACCATCTGCGCCATGACACCAAGAGAAGCTGCTGTCATGGTGCAAACTTTAATTTAAAGCCTCAAGGCAAGTGGCTTTTAATGGAATTTTCCTGAATATATGACAAGTACCTCCCCTTTTTTTGGGGAATGGTTTAATCTCAAGTTGAGAAGCAATCACTGAAAGTGGGTCTGAGGATCCTTTTTTGTTATTTTTTGGATGGCAATTTTTTCACAAAAAAAAAGAATCTGGCATTTGCTTGATGAATCATTCACAGTATATCTGCATATTTTTGTATATATTTCCTTCCTTCTAAAGGACAGCGAGGAAAGTGCTTGTGAACACACAGTTTGTGCATAAATTTACAGTCAGGTACAGTGTCAAGCCCATTTCATCACGCAAGTTTGCCCCAGTGTTACCAAAGGGGCTCAGGAAAGGGATCCCCATGGAAGCTAGGATCTGAAAGGATTACCAGATAATCCCCTCACCAAGAAGCTCTCTTTTTCTTTCTTTGTTTTCCTTTCTAAAGAAGGGGAAATGGACAGCAGGCACCAGCTTTTTCCATTATTCCACTTCATGGTCGATTAGGTATTCACAGCCATGCCCTGGGGATCCAATTACTTTCTCCTCCAGTTTGCCTTGACACCCTGGCAAGGCTGGCAGGAATGTCCAGAGTGAAAAATAAATAAAAGGGGAATTGCCTGAAAAAAAGCAGTGCTATGGAATAAAAGATGGGATACTTTGGGGGGGGGGGGATTGAGAAGAGTGCCCAGCAGCAGCAGTGCTTGAGGACAGGAAGGAAGGAAATGCTCCCAAGTGGGGAGGGTTCTGCTGCAAGGAAATGTGACCAGGG